TTTAAAAGGAAGATGCAGCTCCATAAAAGAAGCTCCTGATTTAAGATTAGCTGCTGGCCTGGATTCAGTGGGCCCATGGATCTCGAGGAGCCCAAGGACTGAATACCAGGGTCCTTCCCGGTACCCCTCAGACAGCACTGATCAGGGACGTCTGACTTTGCTGAGCTTTGTGGAAAGAGAAACTTGTCGTACATCAGGCATCAGAGGGGACTGCCGATGTGAATTATTATTGTCTGTCATTCTAGCCTTATAACTATGCATAGTTGTGTTTTTGTTAATAAATCTTTCTTACCTTTCTACCCCCAACCACACTCTCAATCCCAAACCCTCCGCAGGTGGCTGGGACACCATGCAGCTCATTGGGGATGCTCCAGGGTTTTTTGTTTTTCAGTTTCTTCTCTTTTGGGGTCCTTTTTCAATTGAAAATGGGAGCAGGTATGGGAGACAGGCACGGCCCACAGAGGGCCAGAAAGGGAAGCCAGGGGACTTGAACTTATCTTAGGGAGAAAGCCTGAGCAGGGGAGAGATGCTGGGCTATCCCAACTGCTGCCTGGGGAGCAGGCTGCTACTAAGATGCCTAGGGGTCACAGTCATAGACTACAGAAACATGTGGACAGTAAAGTTGCTAGGGCTGTGCGAAGTTTCAGTCCCTGATTTGATTTGGTGGAGATTTGACCCGATTAGGTGGCTGAATCTCTGAATCTGAATTGAATCAGAGGACCCTTGTGTCGCAGGGCACTAAGGTGCCTGCTGCTCTTAGAGCAGAGATCACTCAGGGAGGGAACACAAACAGCCAGATAAGAGCCCAAGTGCAGGTTGCCATGACAACTGGCTAATGAGAGAATATGCTGCATCTGCACCTGGTTAGCTGTCCAGAAGAGGCAGGGCCCTAGGCCCATAAAAACCCTAGGGCTGGGGCCCGGCAGTTCAGTTCCCCGCCAGCAGCTGAAGGGGAAGGAGCCTCCAGGAAAGAAGGGCCCAGAGATGCTAAAGCCATCAGACACGCTACCCTTAGGGCTAATGGGGCACCAGGAGCCCATAAGGTACCCTCACCTACTAGGCACCCAGCATTAGAGAAGAAGTTTTACTCTTAAAAGGGCAGAGCAGGTCTTGAACTTTGTGTTACGCATATAGCCCATAAGGCTGAGAGACTCGGGAACCATCCACCATAACATGGGATGCCAAGGGGTCTATGAACCACAGGGTTCAGTAAGATCTAGCCAGACCATGTCTAAACCCAAAGATCAAGGGCAGCCTCCCTATATCGATTATACCAACAAGACATGGCAGGCGAGATAGAGAGTGCCTGTAGGGCAAGACTGGCACAGTTAAGGAGCCTAGGGGTAACACGGCCACCCCTAGGGGCCCCACCCTGCTACACCTTGAATCTCCCCGAATTGAATCAGAACCCTTCGAATCAATTTGGACATAGAGACTTTAAATGTTTTTTCTGTATACCTCTAGGTAGTAGGGGCTCATGAATGCTGTGATGCTGGGGTGCATGAAGTGCCCCACAGAAGCATGGGGGGGTCTCCCCAGCATGCTCAGCAGCAGACCCAGAAGTGGACCAGAAGGACTTTTGGTCCACTTCTGGGTCTGCCAGGGAGCACATGGGGGGCTCCCTCGCAGCCCTCTGGCTCAGTGACTGGTGCCTCCTGGGTCTGAGGGGGACACCTGGGATCCCCCTGCAGCTGATCAGCAAGCTGGGGAGGCACAGACGGGCCCACAGCGTGCTCCCCAGCAGATCTAGAGTCGGCTGGAAGTACTTCCTTGTACTTCCAGTCCACTTCCAGATTCACCGCTGAGCACATGGAGGGCCCCCCTTCACTCCTGTAGGATGCTCCATGCGCCCCAGCACTGCAGCGTTCCCAAGCCACACCTGCTACCTCAAGGTATGTAGTAAAGACTTTTAAAATTGTGTCTGTGTCTGAATTGCTGATTCTTCAAATCAGCGTTGAAACTTCAGATGCTGATTCAACTGAATCAAATCAGGGACAGTGATTTGAATCAACTAATTGAATCACTGTCCCTGATTTGGGCTGAATCTAAATCCAAATCGAGAGGGGCCTGCTTTGCACACCCCTAAAAGCCACCCCACAGACAGCAGGGGGCAACATGGGCCTCTGCCTTGTGTGGCAGCACAGCACATTATCATTGCTGTGACCCCATCTGGTTGGCAAGTGGACAGGGTGCAGGAGAGGCAGAGCTGCAAGCCACTCAATATAGCACTGAGCCAGCCTGAGGGTGGAAGGTCACCCAATCTCTGGAGGAACCTCCTTTTCCATTGGTGAATTCCTGACTTACACAATGTGGCAGGCGAGAAGAGGGGAGACCCACTTTGGGTCAGGAGGGTCCAAATGCCTAGCAGCGGTGCAACACCAGAGGGCCAGGGGGAGGCAATTGGCTTGGGGACTCAGATATTTGGAACCATGCCCTCACCACCACCCCCACTGCCCTCAGGGACATGCCCCCTGTCTCTAATTGCCCCTGCCCTGCTCCCAAACAGTTCCTTGCAGGCTGGAAGGCTGCCAGCCTGCAAGGGGAAATCCAGTTTCCTGCAGTTTTTCTCCTTTAAAGAGGAAAACCAGCATTTTTCTCCTGAAAGGAGAAAATCTATGTTTTTCTTCTTCATAAAAGAGAATCCACGTTTTTTTCCACAGCCAATGGAAAATCCAGAACCCTGCTTATGAGGAAAGTCTGAAAACCTAGGGTTCTATAATCTGAAGAACATAAGAGTGAGGGGAAATTCAATAATAAATAGTCTTCAAATACCTGAAGGGCAATTAGAGAGGATGGAGATGGTATTTTCTCTGTGACTAGAGTCCAGGACTAGGAGCAATGGCCTCAAGCTACAGCAGAGAAAATTTAGGTTGAAGATTAGGAGGAACTTCCTTACTACGATGGTGGCCAAGCATTGGAACAAGCTACCTAGAGAAACTGGAATCTCTTGGAAGCTTCCAAGAGCAGTTTAACTAGATATTTGACTCGAATGGTTTAGTTGGGTACAATCCTGGCTTAAGCACGGGACTGGACTAAATAATTTTGTGATGTCCCTATTACCAATAGGATTTCTGTACCAGAGTCCTAAAGGATAGACATGACAGCTTAGCTAATATGGCATCAAGTGAACTTTATTAGTAACCTCTATACAATATTACAGGCTTCCTCCCCATAATAAGACCTGACAAGTGGCTCTGGAGGTATCTCAGTGGTGACTGTTGGGGGTACCGTACCTCAGGTCTTCCGCCAAGTGAGCGATATTTTGGAGCCTCCATAGTCCAGCAGAGGATGCAGCAGCTTTGTGTGTCTTCCCATATCTACTGCACATTCTCACATACCTTCCTTTGTATTAACTAGCTTTTGTTGTTTTTTTGGGTTTTTTTAAGAAATTGTCCAGTCCCCTGGCACTGCCACACATTCCTTACATGGTACACAATCCTATTCTCCTTTTGGTCTTCTTTCCTTATAGGGAAAGTATTATACATTGCTCGCTTAGCAATCCAATTACAGCACTTGCTTCTTCCAGTGTCCTATTAGCCACTCGGTAAAATTTTAATGCTTAGTTCCGGGAAGGCCTGGACTCTTGCTAAGAGCCTTACCACAACTCAATTTGCCTGTTACAATCCCTTCCAGCCCTACTTTCCTGAGATCCTATGAAGTTGTATCTCATGGATATAATTACTGAGCCACACCTTCTGTTGGGATACCTATGTGCAGGAGAGCACAGTGTGACTTGAGTATTTTTATCATAAATTCCTCGTGCATTTACGAAGAACCTTTCCATTTATCTTGCTCTTGCAGTTCCTTCAAGGGGGAAAAAAGGAAGGAAGAACAAATCTAGGCGATTTTACCTTCTTTAACCATTTATTATTTTATTTCTCTATTTTGCACCTCTTTTATGTCTTTTTTTCAAAACTAAACTATTTCAAGTTCTCCCTGTATGGAAAAATTTACATGCCTGAAAATATTTTTTGTCATTTGTCTTTAAATTCTTTTTATCCTATATACATTTTTAAGAACGGGGGACAAGGACTCAATACAAAGGGAATACATATTACCAACTTATTGAAAATTTTCGACATGATTTTATGCTCTATATGCTCACACGTTAGAATGTATTTCTCCTTTGCAGCGAACAAATGTTCTTATAAATAGACTGATAAAAACAATGTCCCTGCCTTTTTCTCAAGAGGAAATGATAGGTCACCTTGGCATTCCTTTTAGTCTTTTTAGTTTTGATTAATTTATATAATTTTGTGTCATCTATGAATTTCATCACATTTTTGCTAACCCCTTTTTCCATATATAATATAAACATAGATCCATAATCTTTCCTGTGAGATTATGATGAAAACTGATAATTTATTACTACTTTTTGTTTAGTTTTCTAGCTTGTTTTGTTTCTATTCTGGAATTTTCATTAATAGTCTGTTGTCTCCACAGCCTTTTGGGGTGGCCCAATAAATTATATTGAAAACATTTTCCTTTATCCACAATTTTACTGGCATGCTGAAAAATGACAGTAGATAGGAAAATTATGATTTTCATCTAGTCACCTACATGTCATCTAGATGGCCATGATGTAACTATGTTTAATTAGTGTCTCATTCTTTTTCTGAGAACAAAGAATAACAATAAAATACAACACTAAAACACAATAAGCTTTTGTATTTTTATTTTATAGAAAGCTGTTTCAAAAATATGGTTAACTATATACATTAATGCTATATACACAAGTACATTTACAATATATATACAATGGCAAAATATCCTTCCATTATATTTTATATGATGGTAAACATCATTAGATGCATCCATCTAGCATGCTGTTGTATCTGCTTCTACCTTAAACCTATCTATTAAGAAATTATGGAGGTTGGAGATAGAAAAGACCTATTAGATCAGGGGCAGGCAATTATTTTGGGCAGAGGGCTTACTGAGTTTTGGCAAGCCGTTGAGGGCCACATGACAGGCAGCCCAGGGCAGATTAATTAATTTTCTAAATTTTTTAGGGGCCCCATGGGCTGAATAGAATTGCCTGGCAGGCCGCATCTGGCCCCCAGGCCACATTTTGCTCTCCCCTGTATTAGATCATTTAGTTTATACCCCTGCCCATGCAAGAATCTTTTCCATAGTGCATTTATTAGTGCTGTGTCTTATAAATAGGGCTAATAGCACTCAGTACTCCCCTTAGATTATTTTGCAGCCTCATGCATCAGACCTTCAATGCATTTTTTCCTGACATTAACTCTAAATATTCTCTCAATTTCATCCTATTATGTATATCTCTTTAACCAGTCTAAATAATTAATTTGTGTCATTCATATTTCCATCCTCCAAGTGTTTGTAGACTATTATCAGATTCCCCCTGACCTTGTTCAGGTAAACTAGAGCAGAATCCCTCATTCTCATGCTTAGTGAGAAAGATATATTTAAGACTTGCGAGTCATCTAAAAACCAATAGGAAAGAGGCCTCAAGAAGCCATGACTGTGGCCCTCCAGAAATGTCTCAGACCTACACTCTCTCCCCTGAGATAAAAGGTACTCTTGCATCTATTCTTGCCCACCTACAGTCCTATTTAGACCAGGGTGGTCTGATGTTTTAAAATATTTATTCCAGGGAGCTGGTATTACAGAAAACAGGCTTAGCCTATCACCTGCAAAAAAGCATCTCTAAAAAAGCTACCTTTAGCCTACTTGCACTGCCTGCCACAGCTCCCTCCCTCTGCCCACTATGGGCTATCTCACCCTGCTCCAGTTCTCCTCAGAGTCCAGATGATCTTTCTCTCCACACTCTCTCTAGAGAAAGCCTATCCCAGGTCATAACAGGCCTACAAGCCAAAAGGAACACGAGTACCTTCCCAACTCCTTCGGGGCAAAAAAGAGACTTTTCTTCTTCTCCTATTCCTCCCTTTGTAGGGCAGTTGCATCTCCCCAAAATACAACCTGCTTTCCAATTCAACAGCATCACTAAGGTCTTGTTTTCTTGCCCTATGTCAGCCTAACACTTTATTGGATACAACCTGCATTTTATTTACTGATCAAGTTTCAAATCTGTGTCCCTTTATATCATAATAAAAAAATTTCTGTTTGAAAGACTAAAGATACCTATAGCAGGCTTTTCATTTGTTATTGACATGAATGCAAGGCCATAACATTTTTCTTGAATTTATATTTATCTTAAATAATGTGCCTTTTATTTGATTACAGGGGAACCTTTGTTTTATTTTGGAACAAGTTATGTTCTGAACTACAGTATAACATGCACGTATTTAATAATCTCTTATATCTGAATATATTGAAGTGCCTTGAATTTTTTCTATACTGTGGGAATTTCATCAAGCATCAGAAAATTGTTCCAAAACCTCTATTCCACTTGCAGTATCCTAGCTTACTGTTGCAAGCATCTGAACACACCATTAAGTATCATTACTGCCTACCTGTTTTCTAGTGTCCCCAATATCCATGGCCTTTCTGAAGTGCTGCAAGGGTTCACTTTTACTCCTTGTCTGAGTTCCTGAGATCCTGTCTGCAACCTGGCTGGAAGGAAAAACCAGAGAACTTCTGCCTTGGTGAGACTCCATGCTGGAAGGAGCTGGTTTGAAACTGCCCTGCTGAGCTTGCAGCGTAGGAGATGAAGGAGCCAGAGAACTGTCACCTTGCTGAACTTGCGTGTTAGAAGGAGGAGCTGGTGAATCATCATCCTGCTGATCTTGTGTGCCGGGAAGAGGAGCTGAAGGGATGGTGCCCTGAGTACTGGGAGGAGCAGCAGGTAAGCCACGGTTGAGACAATTCATATCTAAACTAGGGGCACCAAAAATAGTTTTGTGACTCCCACTGCTGTTACTTTCTGAGCAGCAATTGGCTTATTTATTTAAAGATAACATATTTCTTTTCTTAGCAGTCCCTGTGTCTCCTTGGCCTGATGGACTTGAAATGAAGATTTTTCTCTCTGTTTCAGACCTGACTGCAAAGCACTTGTAGTTCTAAGTTGTAGTCTAGATTTGATTTTATTCTATCTCCTCCTTGCAATACCACCGAAGTAAATTTATTGTTGGAGTAAGTTATTACTAGAGCTTTAAATACGTTTTCTGGTTTCTCCTTTCCTTCATTTTGGTGATGTGTATTGAAGGAGCCGGGACTCTAGTATGTACTTCAAAGTTTTTTTTCTAATTTTGGAAAATATCTTTGCTTTGTTGGCTGAACATTTTGGAAGTAATTGTCTACGGATATTGCCCCCCTCCTATTTTGTAAAGCAGTTTTTATGCAGTTGAAATGTATTAGAGCAGGGATGGCCAACAAACATGTGACATGTGCTATAAGTGGTGTGGGCAGCCTTTGTGTGGCACACAGCAGAACAGGGAGGGGACAGGTAGCACTGAGGAAGATGGGACAGGAACCAGAAAGTAGAACAGCAGGTCAGGCAGGGACCGTAGGGCAGGAAACAGAGTAGCCAGTTAGGCAGGGGAAAGGAACTGGAGTGGCACTCAAGAAGGGTGCAGGGCTATTTTGTGGCATGCCTGCCAGAAAGATGGTCTTCACTGTATTAGAGGATGCCTGATACAATGGTTTTTTGTTTTATTTGGGGCTGCTGCTTCTGTTGTTGTTATTGCATCAATACAGACTTGTTTAAATGATCATGGAATGATTCACTTTACATGAAATGAAAAAAAATCACTACAAAGAGAGAATATATAACTCTGTAATCTACAGAGCACTCATAGGAAACAGAGAGACCTGAACTCCAGTTCCTGTGCCAGTCAATATTTAAATATTTATATCAAATATTTATTGGAATAGGGAGTATCTTAACCAGCAAACATAACATCATGCTTTTTTCATCTCTCTTAATGAAAATTTAAATATTCCATGGGAAGTGGAGCAGCTTCAACAAAAGGAACTGAGATAATTATACTGTAGAATATACAACTACTTGGTGGATATGCCACTGTTTTTGAGAATATAAATTCAGCCCTGCTCATATACTTTCTCATATCCCCCATCCTGGGTGTTTGCTCCCCATCTAGATTATGAAAAAGGAGAATGGTGCCTCTTCCTCCAGCAGCATGTTGCGATTTAGGGGGGATGCAGATGCCAAACTCTTGGCTGGGAGGGGGGGAAGGGGCGGTGTTGTTCAGAACTGTGAATCTTCAGTGAATACAGACAGCTCTCATTAACCTGGAGCTGAGTGTCTCATTCTTTTTTTGGCAGCTGAGGCATAAGACATAATCTTCTCCTTGGCATTTTCTAATGGCTAGTTTAGGCATCTTCCCCCTTACAGGGCTGACTTCTATTTATCCCCTTCTTCGGCACAGAGCTGTCCCTATGTATTGTACAGGATACCTAGGTGCAGTGAGTTATCGGAGGCAGGAAGCTACTTCAGCTACTTTTGTGGATCTAGCCCAATGATCATTATTTAAACTAGCTATATAATACCATTCATGTTCGATTAAAAAATAAGAATACATGGCTCTTCCAGGTTCTGATGAACAACCACTGAAGTCAGTGGAGGCCTTCCCATGGCTTTCAATGAGCATTAGATTAGACTTTATGTAGGATTTTTCAAGCAAAAATATGAAAGCAATTTATAAAGAAGGGTAATTTTAAATGTTCAATGAAAAGGGAAGATCTTTTTGAGAAATTTATGATAGTGCTGTATACAACTCCCCCCTGCCAAGGTTTCAGAAATATTCCTATTGCTACCAAACTCAGTAGGTAAGGTAGCAGCAAAGTTTGTGGACTGTCACGTCTGGAAAGAGGAGATGAGTAGGATTCAGTATTCTCAATAGAGACCAAGTATGTCCATTTTTCTTCTAATGTAAGTAGGGCTAAATCCTGTTTCACTTTATGTACCTAAATGGTATGTAGGTAGCCATGTTACTGTATTCTGGGGTATTTATACATAGTTTATATTTCAACAAAGTCCATGCTAGCCTACTGACCATGTTTAGTGGGGCTGCCTTGTGCCCAGGCAGCTGCACAGGGAAACAGAATCATCCAGATACATACAGAAGGCTGGGCACATTCTGAAATTTTGGTTGGAGAAAAACCATAAAGATCAGGGGAGGGGGGCAAAGAAGGACTCTCCTACCTTTAACCTTAAGTTCAGTGATGAAGGTCCTTGACCAAGGAGTGGGAGGCCTAGGCTTTGCTCACCAAGAGAGGGGGCTGAACCTGTATTTTCTGCTTCCCAGCAAAGTGCTCTAATCACCAAGCCAGGGGGGCCAGTCTCAAGGAGGGATGAAGAAGGCCCAGACACTGCTTGGCTCATGACCTGGTGGTCTGAGTACTTTGCTAGGAAGCATGAGATACAAGTTCCACCCTCCTTTGGAGGGGGCCTAAAACCTTGACTTGGTCCTGCTCCCTGGATAAATGCTGTAACCTCTAGAATAATGAGCTAACAGGTAAGAGGGCTCTCCTCCTCTCTATGCACAGAGTGATTTTGTTTCACAAGAGAAGGCAGAATCCTAAACTGTGTACAAGTGCCAGAAACTGCAATTATATGGCTAGGTATGCACCACTTTGGCAAGTATAGCAAAACAGGCTTTAGATCATAGTGGCTGCATCTACACGAGACACTGACTGCACAGTCATTATTGCACAGTCATTTAGTTTTTGCATTAAATGACTGTGTAGTAACTGGAGTTGCAATGCAACAGTGTCTCTGAATGGCGTTTAGGTGATGCTGACTGCACAGTAGTTCGTTACTACTGTGCAGTAGTGCTGCATCACGCTTCATGCCACACAAGGCTACTGCACAGTAGTAATGAGCTACTGCACAGTCAGCATCTTGTGTAGATACAGCCAGTGTTTATATTAGGCCTATATGAATTTCCAGAAGACATAGTGACTATGATATGACATAGATATTTTTAGACTACTGTTTAAAACTATTACTGTTTGATGTTTTTGAGGAAGTGTATTTTGGAGAAATGATATATGGTATATGCAATACTTTCTCAGATAACATGTACTTTTTTTATCAAAACCCAGATGCTGAAAATTCAAGTGTGTTTTATATGTGAGAAAAACAGTAAGAACAAGTTCTGCTCCTTACTGAGTGAAATTCAAAATAAAATCTGTAGGGATCCACAGGGAGCAGAACAATGTGCAGGCTTGGCTCCCTAGCTGCTGCTACTTAATGGGTGTGTCTACATGTTCATTAATGCGCTTTTGCTAATGCACATTAAATAAAGTGCCTCCATTATAAGGTTAAAAAAAGGCATATTAGCCTATTTTAATATGCATTTGTAAAAGCGCATGGTTTTTTGTGATGCTTTAATCACCATTAAAATAGCCTAATGCACTTTAAAGTGCACATGTAGATGCGCTCTTAGATTCCAAGGACTCTGTGTATCTATAAACTGATGATTGAAATGATACAACCAGCGTTGGGGTATCTTGCTGTTCATTTTAGGTTTCTCAGTATTTAGGATTAAAGTTAGGTGTTAATCTATTCTGAGAAATTCCTTGGGAATTCATTGATTGTAAACCCTTTAGCAGCAAGGACCATTTTGGTTATAGATGTCTATGCCATATTGCGTAAGGGAGACCCACCATAAGGGCTATAAGGTTGTAATACAAGTAACAACGGAATAAGAGAGTCAGCAGAGCATTCTTGATAAAGAACATACCTATTCAAATAGAGCAGAATATGAACAAATAACATAACCAAAACTAGCATACTTATCTAACATCATTCAGTTAGTTATTGAACTGGGTCTAATTGGTACAAGGTTGTTTCCAGTTATGAATCATGTTTGCTAGATCTGAAGTCTATGAAAATGTATACCTAATGTAGGAATCCTGTCACTTTCTGAAAGGTCTGTATGTAGTATTTTGTATACTGTGCCTTTTGTATACTGTGACTTTTATACCATGTTTTGAATTTGTGAGCATTTGTAATTGATCATAATTTGTTATTTAGTATCTGAATTTAGTTACATATACCAAAGATACTGGTCTTTCACTGGTAATATATACATTCTATAATGAAATTAGGAAAAAGGAAGAAGTTAATAGCTAACTGAATTTTTCCACTAAAAGAGGCAATAATCCATCACATGGCAATACAGGAGAAAGCAAAAAACACCTAAAATGAGGTACGGACCCTTTTAGGTTGCCCCTAGTAGGAGGCTGAAACTATATTAAAGGTTTGCCTTGCAAGTTTAATGGATGGGGAGATGCCATAGAAAGCAGATGTCTTTCCAGCCCTGTCCCTGGTTTAGTGTTTCCAATCTGTGGTCCAGATCCTCCTGGAGCTCCTAGAAAAGAGCTTCCCTGAGGGTGAAAAAAATATTGTAGAGACTTGTAGAAGCTGAATGGTTAATAAGGGCTGCAGATTTTGTTACATGGGTATTTTGCAGCAAACTGCTCCATCTTCATGATAGAGATGACACAATATATATTGTTGAAAAAAAAAAATATCACACACCACATAATCCTTAAATGTACACCAAAAATATGGCCAGCCTATGGAGCCCTATGGTCTAGCTTGCTGTGTCTTGAATCAGCCCCCACATGCTACATACCGCAGGCCCTGGGCCTGCACGTTGCCTGTGCACACACAGACAGTTTAGCACATGCTACACACAGCAAATGGGGCCTGTCTGTGGTATGTACTACATGTGATGCCTGCACCAGACCAAACCCTACAGTGGCCCTATGTGCTGTGTGCATGCCATCTCTAGTCCTGCATTCATGGAGCATGTGCCAGACCAGGTCTGTGCTGCATGTGGTGCTTGCATTGGATCAGCCCCGCAGAATGGATATGATGTGCACAGGGCCAGATGAGTTTGATACCCCAATGTATACTATTCCAGACTTGGTAAAATTCCATTAAAAAAATGAAATGCCATGGAAAGAAACACATCCACTTGTTTTACTAGTTTTGAAGCATCAAGAGAGCATACTGTCTTGAAGCTGTGGGGTGAGATTCTGCAACAGAATTCAAAATACCACTGCATGAACAAGACCCTTGACATGGTACAGTGTAACAGCTCTGATTTGCATCTAATTGTATTTGACATTAAAGTCAGTGCAATCCATACTTACTAAAAAAGTAATACTGAAAAGCAGTAGAAGTCTAGCAGAGTTTCAGATGTACATGTTTGTCTGTTACACTGAGCCTACAACTGACCTGACTTTCAGTGGCTGGCACAGATGGAAGTGGATGTAGATCTTCGGGAGGATATTTCTTTCCAAAAGTTTGATCTTACTGGAAATAGCTGTCTCTCTCTCTAAATAGATACTTTCTCTCTTGAAGACTTCCATAGCTTCCTATTGGTTTAATTTTATGTGAAAATCTATTTTTCTTTCTTTTAAAAAACCCGTCATGCAAACTGATGACTTAATTAACAACAGAGATGGGTTTAGCATATTTGGACTATGCTCATACATAAAGCAATGAGAGCGTAATGTTAACAGAACCTATGACCTAACTGTTTAATCCACCACCAGAGGGCAAAAGAACCTAATATTCAGCCCTTCTATACTGCTTTTCATCAGTAGATAAAATAGTTTACAAAAGAAAGTAATGTTATTCCCATTTTACAGATGGGGAAAATGGAGATATAACTTTTCCAAGATTACTGAGAAATCCAGTGACAGACCTTACAATAGATTACAGATCTCCATGGAAGCCTGTCTATGGAGATCATCAAGAGTCAGGCTGCACAGCTGATGGAATGAACTAGAGTAGATGCTACAACTAGAAGGATGATTCTCCACGTCATAAATCCACTTCAGACATGCAGTTCTTTTATACGTTAATTAATATAAATTTTGTCAAGCTCCCCATGAGCAGCAGGAGTCTCAATGTCACGGATCTGGAAAACCCTGTAAATGCACCAGGCTTCTGACTCTATAGATCTCCTAAGATCTGTGTAGACCTTTGAGACTCAGTTTTTGATGGCCAAATTTATGAAATTTTAAATAATTTATTAATCTAATTCATTAATTTAGATGACAAAGTTTCCCTATAGTAACAACTAAATAATGTAAAATCTATAATAGATGTAGCAATCAATTTCACTTTTGTTATTTATTTTTGCCTTCTACTCCCCTCGCCTACTTTCTCAAGGTGTCTAGAATGAGTAGCTTTTTGTGCTGCAATGTTAACAAGGGATATTTTTCTCTTATACCATATTTGTGCAAGAATGTGAAAGGATCTTCATATTACAGATATGAATGCATATCTGAAAGATAATTTTGAGATGATTTTATTTTCTCTTACTGTTTAGACAGACATACATACCAGTACATGAGACGTGACTGATTTTTTTAACAACTTACCAAAAGGTATGCTTCTGAAAAGTAACTGAGTTATCTTTGCTTATAATTGGCTTCTTGGTGCAATTGTTTAACTTTTGTCCCATCATTCTCCTAATTAAAGCATCATCTGTATTTGGAAACAACTGCTTTGTGATTCCTGCAAAATATAAGAGATGATATTTATAAAGCGTTCACATGAAATGGCCAAGTGAGGGAAAAATGTGTGTGTCTTATCTCAAATGCATCAATTGGGCCCATGAATTTTCAAACAAGGTTCTATTTTCTGTGTTTTGTGGCTGCTAGTTCTACCTCACCTCTGCTCATCACTTGCCTTCTCTGCTAATCCCAATTGTTTTCTTTGGCCTCAATATTACCATTCCTGCTCCGGCAACTCACAGACCTTTCATGACCTAGACCTCCTATACTATATACTTCCTATGTTTGCTCTTTCTGTCTTCCTTTATCTCTGTCCTGTTCCTGGCCAAGCAATTCTTCTTCTATCCTCTTATCCGTTTTTATTAATTTTGACATTTCATTGCTATCTCGGACTCTGAGCACCTCTTCCCCTTCTACATTTGTTCCTCTTCTCTGCCTGTCCAGTAGCTTGCTAACTTCTTTGAAGCAGCAATTTACCTCCTGCTCTTATCCTCCTTAATGATCTTCACTTCCTCCTTCGATTTTTTTTTTCTTCTTTTAGACATTCATCCCATTCTGGAGTGTTCTAGTTCTCATCTTCTACAGTCCTTAACGCCTTGGTCTCTTACAATCAATTGTTCTCTTTATTTGACTTCTTCCAGTCTTCACTGAGACAAATGATCATTTCCTCTCCTCCTGTATGTTCAACTTTCCTAAGCAGCAGTTTATTACTAGTGTCTCGACTGCCTCTTCCTCAGGTTTCTCCCATCTGGCTTCTGCCTGCTCTATGCCACCCTTACAAGGTCATTAATCACCTCTCC